GCGCTAGATCATGTTTGTGTGACAATCACTACATTTTCATGCATATTTTTTACTTTTAGGGTTTTTTTTAAATTTTGCATGACATTTTCCTTATATGTATATCTCTTATCCCATATTCCCACTATATGTATGTCCCTTATTCCATATTTCTCTTATATGCATATTCCTTATCCTTATGTGTGAAACATGACATATAGACTTGCATTCCATTTAAAAATTAGAACTAAGTTAGATCATTTGCTTGATTAGATAGGAGAAATATCCCTCGAATATGGGATATGAACGAGATGATTTTTTAGTCTTAGCACGCTCGTATTCCCTCTATAAAAGAGAAAATCTAGTCGTGAATCTTAGTTCCCCGCACCCATTATGATGCATTTTTTTAGGTCATGTATATCTGTATATTATTATTTTCTTTTCTTAGAGTCTCATATTTTTGCATATTCGTGACCTCTTCAAAGAGTCACTCTTGGGCATCACAATTAATGTGATTTACATCAATTAAGTTTTGAAGAGATATTCCGATCCCCCGATATCCTCAAAGGTTTAGGTTTTGCATCCATATAATGACATCCAAATGCGATGAATTCTTAGGTTAAAATAAGAAAATTTTTGACTAAATCACGCAACTAACATTGACTAAGTTAAAAGGGTGTCTTGGATTTTATCCTTACCTTCCCTTTTTTCAAATGTGACTCCCAACCCTTTTTCTCTTGATTTTCGCAGACTTAGAGTCGTTTAAAAAGAGTTTTCTCTATTTTTTCTTTAAAAAATTCATTTTAGGTGACTTGATACACCTTAACTCAATACCAAGTGGCAACTCCTATTTTTCATTAAAAATCCTTTTTAAACTATTATTTTTGGGTCAAAATCGTCACACTTTTTAGTCCCATTTAGGCTCATTTCTTTCTTTATTTTCTAAAAATCAAAAAACTCATTTTTCAAATAAAAAAATTAATCAAAAAATTCATTTTTTGTAAAACCTGTAATTTTACTCATTATTTTTCATTTAAAAATGGGGCACGACACCACCAGCCATAGGTTTTGAAATTTTCAGTTAGTTTAATTTGAGGGGGGTAAGAGTAGAGCCCATCAGGAGCATCACCAATAGGAGGTGAATAAGAACCAGAAGGGAGCAGGAATGGGCCATAGATCAAATTAGGGTTGTAAGGATTTTGGGGATTAGAAGAAGGAGAAGAAGATAAGGGTTTGAGACAACAGTAGGAGAGGATAGTGAAGAGTGATTTGCTATTTTTTTAAAAATTAATCATGTGATGTGCATGACTAATTCCGGCAAAAATTCGAATAGAAAAGTGATCATGGACCAAAATTAATCATTTTTATTTGTTAGGAACTAAAATTATTCATTTTCATTCTGAGGGACTAAATTTTCTTATCAATGATATATGAGGGACAATTGGTGCTATTTTCTCTAAATAGTAGGACAAATTTTAACGCAATCAAACATGTGCAATGCACATGATCTTTCCTAGTGTTTCCAAAATATGTAAGTGACATACCTAGATTTGCTTGTGTTATGCAAATGTGGTTATATGTTTGAAATTAAAGTTTTGATTAGAGATATATTTGTCTTAATTTTGTCTTCTGTGAGTTGGGAGTTCCTTGAAATTAACTTTGTTTGCTTCACTAAAGGAATAAGATTTTAGAAATGCGAGATCAAGGCATAGTAGATGTGTTTATTGTTAATGAATTAAAGTAGCAAGAGAATGCAATTATTGTGTGAAGAGAAGGAAATTATGAGGAAAAGTATTCATTATCAAACATTTGAAGGACTAGAATTATTTTTTATGATGTTCAAACTTTGAATTTCAAGGTAGAAAATGTATTAAAAGCCGAATCTTCCTTTTATGTTGCAATTTGAAGGAAAAGTTTAATGTTGATTTAACTTAGTTTGTAACACTAACAACAATTATCATGTGTAACATACTTGGACCATGACTAGTTCAGTTGAAATACTAGACATTCTTATTATTTGCTATCAAGTTACCAAAAAATTTTAGCCAATCATATACTTTTTAATAGTGGACAAATAATTTCTAAACAAGTATTATTGTCTCGACTTTACAATTTTGTATCAAATGCTAATAATTTCGACTTAATCTTTATATGAATTATGACTAATATTCCTGTAATTAAAATTTACAACTTAAGACATGTTGGAATTTAATTTGAAAGCTTTTGAAGTTTTATGAATAATGTAAACAATATCCAAAATGTAATCAATTTATATAAACCCTTTCTAAGAGAAATATGTAAAACAAAATATCAAATATATAAATAGCATGAATTTTTTTTATCCTCCTATCTCTCCCATGCCCTCCCAATGCACAATTTACCCTCCTACCGCTCCTATGCCCTTCCTACACCCAACTACTGAGAATAGGATTTGAACACTGAATCTAGTAGTGACAAGAATTCTAACAGTCCTTCCTTAGTTACTAGATAGGTAGCATAACTAAACACTAAAAATTCAGCAAAAATAAAATACAAATATTTTATTTTATGTCATTAGGACCAGAACAAACCAAGAACTTCAAAATAAGAGATGAAAGTACTGACCTAAAGAAAATGAGATTTTACAATAGCAAATTTCCCATGACATAAGAACCAACTAGCAATTATCCTAACATTAGATGAGAAAACATAAACTCAAAATTAACAAAATAAATGAAAATTTTTGAAAATGTATAGTAAGGCTGCTCGGGGAAGAAAGAACCTACTGCAAAAGAAAAGAGCAAAATCAATGACCAAATCCAAAATTCCTACAAAAAAAAGAAAGAAAAAAAAAAGCTATATAGCAAGTAAATGACTCATAGACCATGATGTTGAAATGACAACAGTATGAGCAAAAGGTGAAATAAGTAGAATATGAGGTTTGTAACTTCCTAGTCAAATGGCTGCAAAAAATTTTTGAATGTTGAATTGGATTATATACATTTATATCCTCGCAATTAGAAAGAAAAGGAAATAATTGACCACAATCAGCCTATAAGGGTGTAAATGAGCTTTCTAAGTATAATTTTGGAAGACTCCTAGAGACAAAACTTATTATAAAATGTATTACATATCTAAACACACCAAATATTAAATCAATTGTATTGCCAATGAATTGTAGTAATTGAAAAAAAGAATTTCTCCAATTTGGAAGTGATCAACAACTAAAACTATATACATATAAATGGATTAGATTAGAGTTAAAAATACATATATACTAAATTGAGGGAGGGCTAGGGAAGCGTTGGGTGGTTTGAAGGGAAAAAGTGTAAGTGAATGGTTTCGAATTAGAACCCTCGTACTCACACTAAAAAAAAAATTAAAAAAAAAACCAAACTGAATGGTCCATCTTAGTGATAAAGGGTTACACACTAAATAAACTCCAAAACCAGCTCTTGTAGCATTTGTACCAAAAGTTTCAATATTAGATCATGTGGGCTGCTAAATTGTCAAAATCTATACCTTGAGAAAAAGACAGAAAAAATCTTTACCTTAGAGCAAAAGTACTTTTTTGGTTTTATATCCTAACTATACATATAAGAAGCACTTGCACTTTTTATTGTTCACCAACTTTCATCCTATCACTTGTGCTTTGAAAGCTTGTACATGATTTCATATGATTACTTTCATTGTTTCGAACACTTGTTGGATGTGCCATGGATCAGAGGCCACGGAAATTGTTCAGTGCATGTGCTACTATTTTTCACTAATTTACTTTGCTGCCCTCTTTAGATCCTTTCTTTTAGTCTGCAGGCAGTTTATCATTGGTTTTTTAGTCATTTCCATTGGATTTGATTGGTAGTTAATTACTAGACACCATAGTGGATTGTGAAATTATTCTTTTGCCCAGACAGGTGGTATTTTTAATGCATAGCTTTATGGTGAATTTGTGTCTTTTAGTAATTTCATATGAGATTATGGTGGATTAGCTTTTGGAAACCATAATTTGTACCCATCACAATAGGTCTTGTCTGCTGCCTTAGTAGTCTATGCTTTTGCATGAGTTATTTTCTTCTATTCGGATCATCATCTCATAGTTGCTTTGCTGGTCTCTGGAACTTTGTCCTGTTGGTATGGTATATTCTTTTTTTTTATTGCATATTTTGCTGTTTGTTTCTCAACATATTTTGTTGGTCTTGGGCTAAATTTTATAATGTAGTTTTTGCGCTATGTTATCATTTACTGTTTGTTTGGTTTTCACTCCTTTTGTAGTTTTTTTTTGAGTTTGGTTGTTTTGAAATTTTTTGTATCCTTTATACTTCACTATGTGCATATGAAGAAACCATATGAACAAACTATAGAAATGTACACTTCTACTTCTGACACTTAGACCAAAGAGTTTTACTACTACAAATTCTTCACAGGCACCACCGCCCGTGCATCCCGTTGGAGTCCCTACTAGTGTGTGTATGTGTGTATATATATGTATATATAGGTAGGATTTTTCTATTTTTTTTACCTCACCCAAGTCAATTTTATATGGCCCACCCACTAATCAAAACCCATCTAGGAACCCTATTTACCATCCTCCAATAAACTCTTAGACTTCGTTTGGGAGTTGAGGATTTGGACAGAAAAGAAAGGGAAAGAAGAGAAAGTTTAGTTTTTCTTTGTTTGTTAGTTTTAAGTAAGAAAGAAAAGAAAGGAAATGAGAAAATTTAGAAGGATGAATAGTAGCTAAAACTTTTCCTCCCAAATTGGACGGAAATGGAAAGAAACTTTGAAAAAACTTGTTAAAATTTTTAAAATACCTATTTTGTCCTTAAAATGATCTGGAACAAATATTTAATGACTTTCATATCCAAAACCATTTCACTAATTTTCAAAACTCCCAAATAACATAACAATTCCTTCTCTTCTCTTATAACCTAAGTTTTTCCTTCTTTAGTTTCCTATCCTAAGCTCCCAATCTATGCCCTAAGCCCACTGGCCCAATCCCAATAGCCCCTTGCCCACTTGTCGCACCTAGAGTCCAACCCAACTGCTACCTCCCCAATTCTTCTCCAACAAAACGTCCACTCTCCTGAGCGATAACTTTCTCCTTCGTTCTATCGAGGGTTTTTGTGGAGACAATTTGGCCTGAAAAAATTGGTATGCAGATTAATTTTTCTTTGTTTTTTGGTGTATTTTAATTTAGCATTGATAATTTTGTCCAATGGATTTTGCTTGTCGATTTTTCTGGGATGTTTTCGGGGAATTTTCATTGTATTTTCGTTAATTCTAACAAAGCAGAAACTTTCGTTGATTTGGTCCTGATTTGAACGACTTAGACGATTCAGGTGTTGTGTGACCCACTGAGTTGGCACACCGCGAATCGTCTGAGTCGGATGCAGCCAAGTTCCCATGACAGCTCGTCCGAGCTAGCTCTTACTCAGACTGGTTTTGGAACCATGGTTTTGTTGGTGTTTGGTAGGAGATTATTTAGAAAAGAATATTATAGTTTTAGAAGAACGTTTATTGAAAGCATTTTTCTGGGAAAATTTTATTCACACAATGAAAATAGACATAGATACAAATGTTAATTTGTGGATAAGAATTTCTTGCTTAATATGCTGAAGAATTTTTGTTGTTTATCATCATATGAATCTAAAATTTGTTTTAGATTCTTGTAATCATTACGTGAGCTACACAGCAGTCACATTTTTTTTTTTTTGGTTTTTAGTTGATACAAAATATTAATTTGTGATGGTGGAGATGTGGTTTAGTTTATGCAACGTGATTTTTTTTTTCTGGGAAAAATGATAGTGTGATTGGTTTTTTTTTTTTGTGATAAATTGCTCAATTAGGTAATTTATTGGCGGTGCTGGTAAAATGTTGTTGGTGGCATGAGTGACGTGCAAATGGTTGAAATAAATTCCCAATGTTGTCCGTGGTTCGCCGGGTATTGTTTACTATTATTGAGAATTTAATTGAAGTTATGATTGAGGTTAAAGAATTGGAGAACGAATATGGCTCAGCAACAATCATCACGTCTTCACCGTCTGCTTACTTTGTTGGACAGTATCCTATGGTTCATTTTCTGCTGAATAATGCTTGGTCTACGTTTACATTGAATGCAAGATATTATGTGTTTATCAAGTCTGTCTTGCTGATATCAACTTGTGGATGCATTTGATTTTAATTCTGGGCTGGCATTCTTAGGTGTATTTTTCTTTGGCTCTGCTTTATTTGATCTTAAAATAAAAAAAAAATTCAATATGGGTTTCCATTGGCTATTTGGGATCTGTGTTTCTTTAACAAATTTTAAGCGGGCTCGACCCAAGCGACGAGGTTTACTGCAGCTAAGCAAATTGGGGAAATTGCAAAATCACATCCACAGGACCTGATCCCTCTGTTGAGTAAGGTACGTATTTGATTTTCAAAGTTCATATGCTTTTTCAAAGCTAGTCATGCTACTTTTTCCTTATCATTCATCACCATATTTTTTTTCTTTTTAGTATCATCTTTTTGCATCTTATGTGTTTTCAAAATATTCTTTTAAATGGATTATAGATATTTTGGTTATGCTTTTGTGCCTTGTTATATTTCTTGCCCTGGAAGCAAGTGACTTATGAATGTAGTGATTTGACAATTTTTTGCTTCAATCGTGCAAGTATCAGTTTTTCGTATGGAAATATCCTTCTTGAATTTTTGGACGCCTTTGTCAGTTGAATAAATGGAGCCCCTTGTAGCATAAGCTTTATTTATGGCAAGGCACTTGACATCTGACCATATTTCAAGCAAAGAAATCCTTTTGCCTGGTTAGCTTCATAGCACATACAAATCAGTAGCCCCCATTTCAAACAACATTGTACTGTAAAGTTGATACATCTAGAATTGATATTTGTGGCAGTAGGCACAAGTACTTGAAGGGGTCTTTCATGTCGCTTCGTAATTTTCCAGTTTGCCTCAGAATAGGTTATCAATGGTTGCATACACATTATACGTATAAGCAAGTGGAAGAATTTGGTTTGGAGTAATGGTTGTTAAGCTTAATAAGAAAGAGAGGAAAGTATGGTGAGGTATACTGTTATCACAGTTTGCAATAGTTGGATTTTTGAAGAGGAATAAATAAAGATTTTAGGTGTGCTCAAAGATGTAAATTGTCATTTGGAAACTGTTCAGCAGAGCTCCTCGGAGCTGTAGCCTGCTGCAGAATTGTCTACCTGTGACTCCTGATTTTTTTTTTTTAACAAACTCACTCAAGTATAATCTGATACCCAAGAGTTGTATTTCCAGTAAAAAAGTTGTTTAGTAAAATAAGATTTGTGTTGTCTTAGTATGCAAGCCTCCTGGATATAAACTTATACCGAAAAACCCCAAAAGACAACAAAGCTTTGTCACCAAAGGGAGTTATGTTCCATAGGGATTTCACAAAAGTTAGGCACTGCTTTTTTGTTTAAGGAAGGGAAACATGAAGACATGATAACTTATTGAGAAAGTAAAGGAACACGTGCGGAAGTGGCATTCATGTTCCTTGTTTCCATATACATTGAAGTGTAAGAAGGAAATGTAAACAGATTTTTTGAAGAGGAGAAACGAAAAACAAAAAACAAAAATGAAAAGGAAAGGTATAGATATGAATCAAAAAAGAAAGGAAATGCTAGATACATCATTTGGACGTACGAAGGGAAAAAGTTAAAGCGACCTTGTGTCTTTGGCCATTGATTTAAGAAAATAGTAAACCAGAAACATTATCAATTTAATTTGAAATATATTTTCTGCCTCCCCCTGCTCTTTTTGTTTTCTAAATAAATGCAAAAATTTCCTTGAAATGTTGTTCTAAATAAATTTTTGAAACCATAGGTAAGTAGTCATCCATTTTTACAGCAAAAGAATCCCTCAACAGTTTTCTCCTGTGATATGCCCTGTACAATTGGTTTATCTTTTAGATCATACGTTATACAAGCTTGATTCAGGCGGCTTTTCTTTTTGAATGTTCAATTTATTTCAAGCAAAAAATTTGTTTTATACATTATAGGACAGTACATCTATGCCCTTTTTTTTCCTACCATTTGCTTCCACATTTTAAAAGGAAACATAAGCTGAACTTCAAAGCTTAAGAATTCCTATATTCCCTTCCTTTTCCCCCTCCTTTGTTAAAAGAAACTTGAAACACACAAGTTACCTTGTGGTTCTCCTTTCCTTCTCGGTTCCCTGTTTTCAGAGGTGTGTTTAAACAAACTAATTTCAAATGAAAATTTTTCTTATGTGTAACTACATGTTTTTGGTAGTAAAAGCAGTGATACTCATGAAGCTGAAAATCTAGTGCTCTTTTGCTATTGACTTGTGAATACAGATGATAATTTTATTGTTTGTTTTTACAAGCAATTGTTGTAACACTATCTATTCAATTGAAAGTAAGGTATGCGCTATATATGTTGAGGTTAAGTTATTTTATGTTACAGGTATTAACATAAATAATTCAGTTTCTTTCTTGATTGAGGTGTTATGGGCAAAGCTTGACAATTGTTCTTGTTTATTGGATGAAGGGATTATAGTCAAATTTCGATTGTTTTCTTAATATGTTGAGGTTTGAATCTAAAATTTCCTCAATCTGGATTCTTTTTTAAGGTCATTATCTTATGCAAATTTTCAGCTAGCTAAATTTCATCTGAAGTTTGAAATTTGTCAATAATCAACAGCTAAAATTAACAGAGCATTTTTAATTATTCATTTACATTTTGGTTTCTTTCTGAAGGTAAAAATTGTAAAAATTACTCGAATGATACTGAATAAGTGTCTCGGAACTTAAATATGCCTGTTTTGTACCTTGACTTTGTAGTTGCTATCTTTATGGAGCCATTCTGTTGTTCATTTTCTCTTTCTTATGGAGTGAAGATAGTTACTTCTTTCACCAAAATAACTCATTCAATTTGGTAATGCTCGAATATGTGTAGGTTTCTCAATATCTTTGTAGCAAAAGGTGGGATACTAGGGTTGCTGCTGCTCATGCCATTGGAGCAATTGCTGAGAATGTTAAACACACATCTTTGACTGACATAAATTCATGCCTTGAGATGAAGATATCAAAGTTGGGGGTTTCTTGTCCTGTTGGCGATGTGCTAGCATGGGCTTACTGTTACCCTAAATTTGTAGCAAATGCTTCATTTAGAAGGTCATTGTCTTACCATAGTTTTTCCTTGTTATGCCTATCTTTTATTTGGTTGTTATAGTTTTCAAGCCATTTCAATGCAATTAAGAAAGAAAAATTGCACTTTTTGCAGTTTTGATCTGAACAAAGTATTGGAGTTTGGAGCTCTATTGGCATCTGGGGGGCAGGTACTTTTAAAATTGTTTTCCCATACCTTGCATTTCTGTATTTGGAGTCAAACACGACCATGGTTGTGATGACTTACAATTACTTTGCATTCCTCTGTTTTGTAGAACAAATTGATGTGCCATTGTTCCTCATTGGCTTTTCAAAAGCATAAACGCCTGGGAAACAAGTTTACCATGAGAAAGATACTTAGCTTAGCTGTTAAAAAAAAAAGCTAAAACAGTACATATGCTATTTTTGTTTCATCGTTACACTAGTGGGCCTTATTTTCCTCGGAGCTATAGGGACTCCGCATGATGGGTCTAGTTGAAACTGGAATATTTTAATATTAAAAACTTATACATATGACTTCTTATTTTCTGATGAACAACAATAGACAAACTGTGTCATAAAACTGTCAACTTATGATTGTTGTACCTTTAGTTGGGTTTGATAGGCATTTTAATAGTGTCATGTTATCCTGTGAAATATCAATGGTCAAATCTGGTTTCTTCTTCACCTTTTCTTGTTCAGTCAAGTATGAACAGGAGAGGAGAGGTGGGAGCCATTTGTATTCATTAGAAGTTCCAAAGAAAAATACATCCTTGTTCTGAATACATGATTTAGGGGCTGGTTGATAAAAGGGTTTTGGAATCAAGAATTGGAATCACTACCATAATTGTTGCTTGGCGAAGAGGCATGGGGATTGAAAAGTTGGAATGAAATCTAGAAATCTGGTGACTCTCCATTGCTAACCATATTGTGAGCTTTTGGTTGATTACCAAAGTTGACTTCCAAATGAAACACAAAAATTTTTTAAAAAAAGCAGCAATTTCTTCTCTCCCAGATATCTTCTGCTTTGGTACTTATCTGTCCACCTTTCTGTATCTCCACTGCCATCTCTCCCTCACCATCCCTCCCTTATAATACACCACCATATTCCACCTTCTTCATTGCCACTGACATCTGCCACCTCCTTGCTTGCTCATCTTGCGCTCCCATCAAGCAGCAAGGAAGTGCCGTTAAAAGCATGACTAGCAGCAAAAATTTCGATCTAGTTACGGCAGTTGACAAGACTTCTGGTGATGAGGTTTGGGGGTGATTTTGACCGTAAAAAGTATTTACCCCTTCTCGAGCCGAAGAAGATGATGAACATTCTGTCATTTTGGATATCTAGTTTCAATTTACATCTATCTTTGATAGGAAAATCTGAAAATCTTTGGGTTAAATATGATTTCAGGAGGTTAAAGTAGTAATTAGGTCTGAATTTCTCTCAAGTTTGAAAGTTGATTGGTGGTGGTCAAGGAAGAAACGTTGTCTGTCAATGGCCAAAGCGGGTGGAATGTGCAGGAAGGGGGAAAAAGGGGGGAAAAAGAGGAAAAACTGTTAAAAATAATATCTTATTCTGATACCCAAACCTAAAATGATTTTCCCAAGAAATAAATATTGTAATGATAACTTAAGGCTATACCCATGCTAATTATTTGTGTATGATACCAATTCCAATTCCAATTCTAATTCCAATTCCAATTCCAGAGCATGAACCAGGCACCCCTTAAATCTTCATATTTTATTACAAAAAGAAGTAGCTCCTGAAAAGGAATAGGACACTCTAGTTAGTTTAATATTTCCTTAACTTGAAATATTTGAGTATAAGACTAGGCATGATGTTAAGTGTACAAGACCTAGTGACATGGATTCCAGAACAGGTACCAAATTTTATCATGAACGCTTGTTCCATACATTTTAAAGTATGGGGAACTCCAGTCTGTGTTGTACTGGTATTTTTGTGTCAGTGGCCTGTCCTTTGTAGCTTTTGCCAATTTTTGGAGCATAAATCATGCAGGTGGTTAGTTTTGCTTTTGGAAGTCGTGCCATTTCTTTTCTGCCATGTACAATAGATAGTTGTACCCGGGGGGGGGTCTCTTTCTCAGCCTGCTTCGGCAATACTCTTTATGGATCCAAGTTGAATTAAACTTGTATTAAGAACTTTTACATTGAAAATATTGCTAAAAGGAAAATTTACTACTAGAAAACGAGAGGGAACATTGTTTGTTTTGGAATTGAGATGTGATTGGTTTTATTTATTTATTGTCTATATGTTTTACCATATTCATCCATTGCACCATTACTTTGTGGAGCGGGAAAATGACTTCTATCATCTATAACTTGACATCATGCTCATGGTATTCATTGTGTCATGTCCTGATCCTGGTCATAACAGGTTTCGCCCCTTTTATGATCTAACTTGACATGCATACTTTCGAATTGAGATGTGATTGGTCTCAATCTTCTATAACTAGACTGGGTGCTCATAGCTGTTCTTACAACTTGGAAGAGATAGCACCAATATGGGTGCACTTGCTTCTTGTGCTGATTTTGACCTCCTAATCTGAATTTCCATTTTCACATGATTTCAGGAGTATGATATTGGGAGTGAGAGTGGCAAGAATCCAAGAGAGCGATTGGCTCGACAGAAACAAAATCTTCGGCGTCGTCTTGGTGAGTTTGCAGATATAATTTCTCTTGTTAAATCTGTGTTCTGAATTAGTATTGTTGCTTGTTTATTTATTGCATTTTCTAGGCCACAACTAATGACTTTGAGATAGTACCACTTTTGAATCTCTATGGTGATGTCAGACTTTGGCAGCTTGATGCCTAGTGTGAGTTTATGCTACTCTTTCTGAAGAAAGCTTCATTTCAAGTTAAGCGGTTCTGCAGTTCTACTGTTGACCAAAAAGCACTCCAAAATATATCGATAGATGTCATATATTCTCTCTTTTGGTATCGCTCCTAACCACAGTAGCACAAGGGAATAGTGATGGCTCAGTTGGATTTTGCTATGTTCAGGCTTTGTACATTGTTGAGTTATTTGTACATGAATATTTCCTGAAATGGTACTTAGTCATCTGTGACTAGGCAACAATTGTAATGGCCAACTTTGATGCATGAGCAAGATACAAAAACACACTAGAAGTAAGCCACAGGTTTTTTAACTAAAGAAATGAAAAGGAAAGAGGTATAGTACACGGTCCAACAGAAGCATGTTTATACATTTGTACATTCCCTTGTGCATGGACGTTCATATTTCTTCAAATGGTGCTGGGAACTTGTGTATTATTATGAAAATAGCTTTAAACCTATCAGGGTGCAGAAAATTGTTCTCTGTTGAAAACGTAACTGAAGAGAACTGAGCCAAAGAAAATAGAGACTTGGGATGAATGAAAGTTGTTACGTGGAGAAACAAATGAAGAATTATAATCTTTGACTTTTTTTTTTTGGTTGGTGGGAGGGGTTGGGACTTTATTGGTGTGGGTAATGGGCTCCTTTTTTAACCTGCACCCGTGATGGGAAATATGCATATTGTCCTGAGGGATGATTTGAACCCAACTGTGGAAAATAGGAGATCTAGGACATGGGAAACCATGTAAATGAGGCGTTGCTAAGGCTTGAATATATTTGACTGGAAAGATGAACCATCTAAACCAATAGTTGAGCCACTAAGTAGGTTTTGTGAGGCCGACTAACTAATGAAACATAGAGGCTATTATTGGTGCATGCAGCAATAGCTTGTAGCTGTTGTGGCTTCTTTTGTGACATATAACACTATAGGTTGGTTATTTTATGAAACTACTTCCTAGAATGTGTCCAAGTACAGTTAGTTTGGTACTCCTTAATGTTCTCTTATGGAATGACTCAGATGGACAGGTGCGCTTAAGAGTTTGTCAAATTACTATGGACTATTAGCTCACTCTCCATACAAATTTGATTTCAATATTGCATTAGGAGGTGGTGACTTGGGGGTGGGTGGGTTTAATACCGATACTTCATTGTAGATTGGATTTGTACCCTTTCTGCAGCACTTTAATGCAAGTGATTGTTTTGAATCTTTTACTAGCAGTTATGTATTGAACTCCTATTGCTTCTTGATTCAAGATGGAAGTCAATTGATCCATTAATTCATTGTTGGTCAAAAGATTGCTACAGGTTGACATTATTAATGATCTCTGAACCAAACAAGTTGAAATGCAGAATTTTGTCCATGTGCAATGTTTTATGATGTTCATTTTCGATTGGTTTCTCTGTTGTTTCAAGTAAATGCTAGAAACTACTGTTTAATGGTAATGCATTCTGGTTATCATTCAGTTTTGTGCTGTCTTTGGTATTTATTCACTGTTTTTTCTAGAATGATTTTCACAAACTGACTATTATTCATCTGCAGGTTTAGATGTATGCGAGCAGTTCATGGATGTTGGTGACATGATAAGAGATGAAGACCTGCTGGTGCAAAAGTTTCACTCCATTGGCAATGGTCTTGCCCCTCAATATAGGTCTATGTCCAATTTCCAGCAATTTGTGGCAAACATGGTCCCTGGTGTTAAATCTAGGAGGCCAAGTGCAAGGGAACTGAATCTCCTAAAACGCAAAGCAAAAATAAGTTCCAAAGACCAATCAAAAGCATGGTCTAAGGATGGAAATGCTGAGGTCCAACCACAAGAGCTGGATATGGCATCGCCAAAAGGCCCTTATCGTGACATCGTGAGCTTGAACAAGGTAGAAACAATATATTCTTCTCATCTATTCATATCTTCTATGCATCTAGGCAACTGGTTTTTTAGGTACTCTTGATGTGTGGTTGTACATATATGGTTCTCATGCTTTGTTTTCACGTTACGTTAAGTGAAGATCTTCTTCGATATCTTTCCTTGAGAAAATAGGCAAACTTTTGCTACCTACATTTCCTGTTAGCTTTCTGCATATATGTAAGTCTTAATGTTTTCGCTTCTTATGTATTGGATCCAAAGTCCTATTAGCCCGTTAGCTCAATTACTGGAAGTAGACTCTTTTAACTTCTTGTTCAAATACCAAAATCCCCACAAAGAACTTCTGTAATTTGCAAGAGGCATGATAAAATACTGTCCAAAACACTCTTATTGCCATGCGAATAATTGAATTCAAATTTTACTAACTAGTTTATCTCAGCTAGGGGTTCTAGGGGTGTACATATGGAAGGGAGTTATTGGTGTCTGGTGGGAATGCTTGGCTGCAATATGGTGGGAGAAAGAGGGCTGAAGTTTACAGAGTGGAGGTAGTTTCAAGAGGCAAGTTTGGGAGCTGGTAAGAGGTTAGTTGTATTAGCAGGTGGGGGAGAGCTGGGATAATGCTTTAATCCCACGTTGAGTTTGCAGGAATAGCCTAGAATGGAAAGGCCTTTCCAACTTATCTATTCCATTCTCATGTTTTGTATGGATCTTTTAAGTTGGAAAGCCTGTCCCTTTGAAAGTTCATTCCAACTTCTTCCTAGAAACTCGATTCCTTGACAAAACCTAGGGTTTCGATTCCTTGACAAAACCTAGGGTTTCGATTCCTTGACAAAACCTACCTTTCCAGCTTTGTTCTGGAAAGGCCATAATTTTTTTTTTCTTTTTTTGGGGGGGTGGTCAAGTTTTATCCTAACTTGGGTGATTCAATTAATAATTGAATGTAATTCGTTTTAATAACAAGCAGTTTTAGTTAGATTTCAAATAAATGTATTTTTTTCTGCTATGACAATAAATGTTTAAGACACTGCACTTTATTTTTAGATATTGTGGAAATGTGTATGAATTTAATTAAATTTCACATAGATAATTTAAAAGATAATGATAAATTGGGAACATGGATGTTTGACTTTATTACTTTTTTCTACAGTGATTTATTTTGCTAATAAATACAAAAATTTTATATTGTAGACTTACTTAGATATAACAATCAAATTATTGCAATAAGAACAACCAAGTTCCTTGTAGGTACACAAATAAAAGCGTAGCACAAAGAAAGAGAACAGAGGTAGAGACATGTTATGTTCTACAAAGAATCCTGGGCAATTAAGTGAATCTTGTACAAATTTTATTGCTTTGTGACATCTAAATATTCAGCATTCCAAACATTGGAACAGGAATGCACATTCAGTTTTGACTTGGTTACCAAATAGTGGAATGACAATTGTTTTTCCTGCCCATTCTATGTGGAAGGGTGTTCTGGGTGGAAAGACGTTTCCATTTTGAGTTATTCCTGCGTACCAAACGCGGGTAAGGTGTCTAGCTGGAGGGTACAATTTTCTCCTCTGTGAATGTGGTTCTTACGTTTATAGTTAATATCAGAATCCATGATCCTCTAGTGGTCTCAGGTCATCCTCATACCCTCTTCATACCAACCCGTTGCATTAAAACTTCTACTTAGTCTATGCTTGTTTTCTCATTGTTTAGAATGTTCTTTGAAGCAATAGAGGAGGGGACGGAGGGAGGGTTGTAGGCAGTGGCGGTGGTGGACGGGGGTAGGGAGGGAGGGTTGAGGGTCGGTAGGGGTAGTAGTGGGGCTAAGAGGCAGGGGTGGGTTGGAAGAAGCAGGTGTGGTAGAATTGGGTTTTTTTTTTTTTTTTGGGGTTTTTGGTGTTTATCTTGGGGTATTGCTGTAGATTTTGTGTGTAAAACAAATGTTTTTTGTTAAAAGGGGATCCAAGCACACCAAGTTTGCTGGGATTTTCCATTTGCTGAATGTATCAAAATTTCATTATGTGTTCAAGAATCCTGTTAGTCAATTGAAGCTAGAAAATTAACTATGGAAAGGATAATGTTTAGCATGGATACAGTTAAGAAATTTTGAACATTGAAAATTTAGCTCGCTATGTTGTATGCTGAAGCTGAAACTTCTCTTGTTTATTCTTTCTTTTTTCACTTAGAATAACTAAGAATAACATGCATAACTGTAGAATAACAAAGAATAGTATGGGATTTTCATAGGATTTGTGAAGGCTTCCTGAGCTCGAGCTTGCTTTGTGCCTTTAACTACTATCATATTTGTCAGTCTCATTACTATATCTTTTGAATAAATTAGAACAATAAATGCAACTTGGAACAAATTTGAAAATGTCAGTTGAAGACCAGAAAATAACTTTTTCCAATATAATGAACTTTTTGCGGGAAATATATCTGCTGGATGAAAATTCTATCTTCCAATTGCTAGCTTTCTTCCAACTTTTCCTGGAAGATGCCTCTACTGTATTAAAAAAATATTAGGTTGGCTCCCCATCATCTGCAGTTTTCCATGCAGTCAGATCTTTCAAATTCAACTTTAGACCTGAAATAGCCTGAAACAATTTGAGATTCCCTTCAAGTTTTGCTTCTTTCCCATTACAGTAGAATATTGCCTCATCTGTGCAATAACAAAGATTCTTGAATTCCTTTCTTGTGTCTAGAGGGAATAGGGTCATTTGATTGTGTACTATAGTTCTGTGTTCATAAATGAAATTCTCTTTTCATATTATTTACTGTGTCCTTATATGGATCAATGAAGAAAGCATCCAGCAAGCAATATCTTCAGTAAGTAGGAAGATGGTGCACTTTCTATGAGATTAGGAATATCAGTTAGCTTCTTAAATGATTCCTGTGTAGGTGAACCTTTTGTGCTTCTCTCTCTGAAATATTGAAGTTTTTCCTCCCATTGTTAAAAAAGTGCAGTCTCGTTCAATTGGTTTATTATTTTTTCTTTGGTGAGCTTTTAATTGCTTTTATCTGAAAGCATATTTTGCTGCAGCAGTTTGCAGATGCTGTTTCTGATGATGATAACTTTGATAGTGATGGTGATGGCAGTTGGCCTTTTCAAAGTTTTGTTGAACAGCTGCTAGTTGATATGTTTGATCCTGGTAAAGCACTCATACTTTAGTAGTTCAAACTTTTGCAAAATTTTTTACTTAACAATATTATCTTGTTTTATTTCTCAGTCTGGGAGGTCCGTCATGGAAGTGTTATGGCTTTGAGAGAAATATTAACCCATCAGGGTGCCAGTGCTGGAGTTATCATGAATGACCTGAACTTTGATAGTGCCCTGAGTTCTAGTTTCAATGATGTGGGTGAAGAAAACACAACTAAGAGGGAGAGACAGATTGATCTGAATATGCAAATCTTGTTTGAAGAGTCCCAACCTGTTTTGAAGAGACCAAAGCTTGAAGGTGCATCATCTCTTCTGACAGACACGATTGTTGATTCCACCAAAGATGATAATCTTGGTATTCATGTAAAAGTTGAAGCCCCTGGATGGGATTTGCCTATGGGGCATGCAAATGGTGAAGTTGTTAGTTCTGATAAGGTGGAGGTGGGGCATCAATCTCACCTTAGTAGTGCATCAGATCCTAATAGTTATATGTCAAGTGCAAAGATCTGCTCTGAGGATAAGGGGTCCATGGAAAAAGCAGATCTATTTAAAGATCTTCCTAACAATCCTGAGCTGCTGAACGTGCTTAAAGTGGCTAGGCATTCTTGGGTTACAAATTGTGAATTTCTTCAACATTGTACAATCCGATTCTTGTGTGTCTTGTCACTGGACCGGTATGATCCTCTTTTTTGCATGAGATTTTAGTACAAGGATTTAGCTTTCTATAGGAGATAGGAGCCTCTACCTAGAGGTAGAAAAGACTAAATGGCATTAATTTAGGAAATGAAGAGTAATATTTGAAATTGCTAGTATACTAGCAAATGCTTCTTGTACTTTCTACTGCTGAACATAGACTTACTTGGCTTTTACAAGGTTTGTTAAGTGTTACGTTTGGTAATTTTTGTTTTTGTTTGGTGATGACTCGTTATTTTACTGTTTATGCATTTTGTGCTTTTAAAATATCCTCAAGCAGTTTCGATGCGCATCTTAACTTTTTCATTTGTCTTCTACAGTTTTGGAGACTATGTGTCTGATCAGGTAGTTGCTCCTGTTCGGGAAACCTGTGCACAGGCTCTGGGTGCTGTCCTCAAGTATATGCACCCATCGTTAGTCCATGAAACTTTAAATATCTTGCTTCAGATGCAGGTAAGTATCTAGTGGAACTTGTTTTGGTAGGGATCTTTTTTTGTAAATATTCTTCCTTTTAACAACCAATTTAATTAGCGCTCCCGTTTCTTTCAGCGTAGACCAGAGTGGGAAATTCGTCATGGAAGTCTTTTGGGAATAAAATATCTGGTTGCTGTGCGCCAGGTGAAATTTGTTCTGTTGAATAGTGTTTGTTAGATAACAGTTGTTGCTGACATATGCACCTCATTTTTTGGGTCATGTCTGCACAAGTTTCTGGATTTTTGTATGTGATATAGGAAGCTTTGGTTGTACGAATTAAGATGCTTTAGCTAATTTGAAAGTTTCTAGAATTTTGTCTTTGTATAACATTTATCTATTCACTACATCTTGTAAAGAATAGGAGAATGAGATTATTCAGTGCAAATACCTTGATGTAGTGGGGTTATTTCACCATGTTGGTTAGTACTCTTTTCTTCATATGATAATGGCGCTCCAAAATTTGACTTCTTTGCTGTGTCTCTTCTTGTTTTACCTGGGAAGATCTTTTTATAGACAGAGGGAGAAGTTTCTTTTTTCTTTTGGATAATCATGCATTTTATAATTTTCAGGAATCAAGCTTTGTTTCAAAAGAAACAATTGACTCTTTTGAGTTCCTCTGCCTTTGAGGAATCAATGAACTTTGTTTTGGTTTCGACCCCATTTTTAACTTATTTGCGCTTCTAGTACCATAAAGATTTTTTTTTTGGGGGGGGGGTGTTGGTGGTGAAATGTTGCATGAAACTTTGAGGTGAATGCAGAATCCTTGTTCTGATGTTCTCATCAATTAAAAGTTTAATTACTTCTTTTCGATCTACCTTTCTGGTTGATGGCCTTTGATACTTCCTCCTTGTTAATGAGTACGGGCATGCAGAAAATTAGTTATTATCCATGTTTTCTTTTTCCCTGATTTGGTTACTTCTCTATATCAACAATGATGCATGAAGTAAGTCTGGACTACTATGTGCCCTCAGAAATGTTCATATTAGTCAGTGAGCCAGAGAGGTTAGAAGTCTCTTTTGCTTTTGTGGTGATTCGTCAATTCAGCTTACCAAAGGTTTTAGCGGAAAGCTCATTTGAACATCTGCCCTTTGCTTTGACTTTTTGTAAGATTTCCATGGGCCTGCTTCTGTAGTCTGCAGCTTTTTACTCTGGCACTATCTTTTTAAGAATTCAAGTGCCAATTTGTGGCATTAACATTGAGTAGATCTCATATATAGGAAGATATGAGATGAGTATAAAAATTGAGTAGGGATTGCTTCTAGTGTGTGTTCTTTGCCTTGCTTAAGCTTTCCATATCATCATAGAAGAGGAGACCAGTAAATTATGTCCTTATAGATCTCTTGTGGCTTCAAAACATGCTTCAAAAAGAAGAGCTAACTGGCCAATTTGTCTTTCTTCCTACGTTTGGTGTGATGGAATCAAAATTTCCTTTTTCAAGTAATATTACGATATAAATAGATTGTGGAAGATGGGGAAGCACATATGCAGATTGATGTACATGTATTCCTGAAAAGTTGTGGATTTCCTTTCTTTCCCCTCATCTTGATTTTTAAGGCACCTGTATACCCACCATGTTAACATTTTTGTTGAATTGAAAATCCTTGTATAAGAAAGGGTTTCATTTGCTCTTGTTAATGGAAAATCTGGCCCACTTCTTGTGTGCTCTTGTGATAATAGACGTCTCTGGCTGATATTTTTCCACATAAACTGCATTTTGTTGTTGTATTCTTTACAATTGCTCCAGGAACTTAGATGGAAGATTGTTATGCTAAAAATTTCGTTATTGATTTCCTTGATCATTACCAAGGAGGAACTAAGAGATATGCAGTTAGAGTGGAAATCTCCTAAAACAATGAAACATTATGGGATATAAAATGCATTCATATTGATGTAAATGAAATTTATATGCTTGAAAGGACAGAATTTCTTGTTTTATTTCTTTTGAGTATTTGTTAATCTCGCTATACTTGGTCCTTTATGAGGCCAGAATATCTTGAGAGAGTTAGTGTTGTTCAGAAGCCAAGGGCTCTTGCTATTTGGTCAAGTACTGATGAAACACAAGTGTTTTGTGCTCTTCTGATAGCTAATTCATTTTTTTGATTTGCTGTTTTGTCTGCTTGATTAGGACCTTGATTTTGTAATCTCCACATTCTTTTCTTGAGTTTGAAGACTTTAGATGATATTCTGGTGCATTTATGAAGTATAGTATTTAGTGTCAGCTATTCTATCCAAGTAACTATCCTTCTGTTGGCTCCAGGAAATGCTAAGCGATTTGCTTGGTTTGGTTCTCCCTGCCTGTACAGCTGGGCTTGAGGATCCTGATGATGATGTAAGAGCTGTGGCTGCAGATGCCTTGCTACCTACTGCAGCTGCTATTGTTTTTCTAAAGGGCCAAACTTTGCATTCCATACTTATGCTACTCTGGGATATATTGCTTGATCTGGACGACTTAAGCCCATCTACTAGCAGGTAGTTCATGATGTTGGTATGATCATACGTCATCTTGCATTTCAATCTTAATGACCCGTTGATTCTTTTTTTTTTTGCCTCGTTGATTCAAGTAGTTTAATAAAGTTTTATCTATGCTTTTGTTGCAACCATTGCTATTATGTTGTTTTTGAATATCATGATTGCGCCAGATGTACAAGATTAGGAGGCTGATTGTTAGGCTCTTATTTCATTGATTCATCGATGCATCTTTTTTGGTTTAGACCAAATACTTTGATGTTTTTCAAATTAATGGTCTACATATCTTTCAAGTTAATGGACATAATTTGATGTTTGTTTTACATTGCAGTGTCATGAATCTCTTGGCAGAGATATACACTCAAGAGCATATGAATCCAAAGTCACTTGGAACTGTCACATCCTGTGAAAAACAGGAATTTGATCTCAATAAAATTGGTCGCCTAGATGACTTGGGAGAAGAAATAAATTATCTTGAAAATCCTTATATGTTATCAACATTAGCTCCAAGGTTGTGGCCATTTATGAGACACAGCATCACCTCAGTCCGCCATTCAGCCATTCGAACTTTGGTAATTTCTGTTTTTTGTGCTTTCTTTTAGCATTTTCTGCATGTGAAGGTGCTTATATCTGTTGAATGAAATGCAGAGATTTTATTTTCCTTTTCAATCTTTCTGGTGACAAATTCTTGCAGTGAACCTTTTATCACAATCAAAATGTTAAATCACTGGAGTTCATGTGCAGGAGCGTTTGCTTGAAGCTGGTTTTAAGAAGAGTATTGCTGAGTCATCTTGCTCGTTTTGGCCTTCTTTTATTCTTGGAGATACACTAAGGATAGTTTTCCAGAACTTGCTGCTTGAATCAAACGAGGAAATTTTGCTTTGCACTGAGAGAGTTTGGAAGCTCCTCCTTCAGGTGGTACTTAGACTTGTACAACCTTATTGCCTTCTTTACACATTTGTGTTAAATGGTGTTTTTTTTTTCTGTTTTTTTGTTGTTGTTTGGGGGGGGGGGGAAGAGAGAGTGAGTGAGAGAGAGAGGGTACCATGTGGAGGAGCTAGGGATGATGGATAAGGATTAAGCAGGGAAAGGGCAAGGAGGAGGCCTCCAAGTTGGGGCAGTAGATAGAGGGAGAAAGGAGAATAGAAGTGTGGTAAGAGGGGAGGCTGTATATGGCTTTGTAGAATGGGTGACTGGTGACTGCAGGGGAAGGAGGGGGAGGACAGAGGGAAGAGAAAGGTGGCAAGGTAGCAGGAAGGGGCTCACTTAGAAAAATGGCAAGGATGTTGGGAGATGATGCATTTCTGTCTTTTCTTCTTTTTTTCTTTTCCTTTGTTCTTTAATTGCCTTATCAACTATTGTATTATTTGGGTAACTATGTCGTTTAACTATAGCTTTTATTCAAAAAATAATTTAATTGCTATACTTTAGAAAGCATGTACATGTGGAGCATTTTTGTATGTTCTGTATCATTTATTGACAATGATGGAGTTCATGGAAAGAGAGGGGAGGCTAGATAGCAGAATGGGACTCACTTAAAAAATGGCAAGGATGTTGGGAGGCGCTTCATGTGTTCTTCTTTTTTCTTTTCCCTTTCTTCTTTCATTGCCTTATTAACTCTATTATTTGGGTAAATATGCCATTTATCAATAGCTCCTTTCTAAAAATAATTTAATTACTATACCTTAGAAAGCATGAATGCTTTGAGTGTTCTTGTATGTTCTGTAACAATTTCCTGACGATGATGGAGTTCGGGGGTTCTTTTGGTATGTGCAATTCTGAGGAATAATGCTGGACAAAAACCTTGGAAATGTGAATGTAGTTAAACAGATTTTATATTTGAATGCATGCAAATGGAGGAATAGAACTCTCTAAGGCTGTTTCCTTTGCAAGGGTGTTTTCTTTTCCTATTTTCCATTTCCTCTTGTTGGTGCAACAAACCATTCTTTGTTTGTGGAAATTACCAGTAACCCTTCATTTTTTTTACCCCATATGCATTAGAGTAAAAAGAAAAGTTATAACATCCAATTTAACAGTGTCTTGCAGTCTTGTACCTAAAAAGTGAGTGATCTAATGATATAATTATTTTTGTGTCTTATTCTCTGCTACTCTCTCTTAATCTTGGCTGACCAACCTCCTCCATTTCCTTTCTTCTTCCATGCCTACCTGCAACTCTTTCCTGCCCTTTCTCTGCGTAAACAAAGTACAAGTATCGCAATTCATTTCTTAGCATTACATTTTTTGATAAAGACTGCAATAGAGCAAAGAACTCGAGAGCACACGTCCGTAAAAAAAAATTCTAACTGGGCTGCTAAATAGGATTCTTGGGCTGGTTGGGCAGCATAACCATGGATTGCTTTCACAGAGATTTGCTTTTCAAATTTTCTTGCTCTAGGTTTGACTAAAACAATCAACGGATGTAAGTGGTACAGATGTTTTTGTAAAACTACTTGGACAGATTTACTATTGTAAATACTAGTGGTTGTGCTGTAATAAATTGTTTTAAATTTTTTGCTTCTGCCTTACAAATGGATAAGATGAAAAATGGTAAATAATAATTGAGGGAGAAGATGAAGTGGTGCATTGTATCTTTTGGCTAGTGATATAATCACCTGAGAAATCAATGGCCATCATCAGCAAGCTGATCTCCCTACAAATCAATGTGTTACTTGAGCGATAACTTTATGGTTCTGCAGATGTGTGAGCAAAAGGGAGGAGAAGCATCTCAAATGCGTTTTTTCTTTATGGGATTAAATTAGTCTTTGTGCAAAGAAAGTTTATTTAATAATGTTTTCCATCCATCTTATCGTTTACTCTAAAGCACATGGGAGTAAATGGTGGGGTTTTAAACTACATAGTGTTTATGGTTTGCAACGCGTTACAACATGGCGTTTATTGTTTTTGAACAAATGACAATTACTTCCTTGCAGATTTGCAATTTTTGTTGTTTTTCTTTTCTTCAGATGAATTTCATCTAATATCTGCCATAAGAAGGATACTTTTGTTTGTCCTTATTGCTTCGAACAATTAATGTTTATGAAGGTATAGGCATCCAGATCTGATTTAGGGACACAAATTTGTATCAATTCTCTAGATTTATGTCGTCATGGACTTAGTTTCAGAGAAATAGAATTGTTAGTTCCTTCTTACACAAGTTTACACTTACGACTTTATTTTGACTTTTGGAATGTAGGATCTTATGGATATGCACATACATATATATGTATTTGTGGTATTCTTTTAACGTACCCCAGTTTTATATAATTTCTTTTTCCCTGGCGAATTTTTTGATCTTAATAGCTACTTCTCTGGTTAAAAGAGTAAATTATGACAATGTTAGCTAATTTCTCTCCAAAGTTTTTGCTCCTTTCTCTATACTAATATGCTTCCCTCTGCTCCTTTTTTCTGCATAAATTACATGTTCAATCAATATCAGTGCCCTGTGGAGGACTTGGTTGGTGTTGTAGAGTTGTACTTCTCTTCTTGGATAGAGCTGGCAACTACTCCATATGGTTCACCACTGGATGCCACGAAAATGTTTTGGCCTGTAGCGCTTCCTCGTAAGAGTCATTTCAGAGCTGCAGCTAAGATGAGAGCTGTTAGGCTTGAAAATGACTCTTATAAGAACACGCGCTTGGATGTTCCAGACAGTGCTATTTCACAGGATAAAGTTGGAGATCCTTCTTTCTCTAGCCCTGCTAAGATAGTTGTTGGTGCTGATGAAGACATTTCGGTCACTCATACACGGGTTGTTACAGCAACTGCATTGGGCATTTTAGCTTCTAAGTTGCATGTGACAACCTTGGGATTTGTCATTGATCCATTGTGGAAGGCACTGAACTCTAAATCTGGTGTTCAGCGGCAGGTACAAGTCAGTTCATTCAAATAGGAAATGCTAACCGTCCATTGTCATTTTTCTTTGTCCTTCCTCTTTGATGTGTAGTGATTGGTCTGCATGTTACCTTGAAAATAATTTGAATATCAGGTGGCAGCGATGGTGCTCATATCTTGGTTCCAGGAGTTGAAAATGAAGGATGTTTCTGTGTCTTCTGAAGTTGGTCCTTCAACTTTGATTGGTTTCAGGAATTGGTTGTTAGATTTGTTAGCTTGCACCAATCCAGCATTCCCGACAAAGGATACACTTCTTCCTTATGCTGAACTTTCAAGAACATATGCTAAAATGCGGAATGAGGCTTCTCAACTACACCGTATCACTGAGGCATCTGGCATGTTTCATGATCTGTTGGCTTCAACCAAGTTGGATCTAGAAAATTTGACTGCAGATGATGCAATTAATTTTGCATCAAAACTGCCTTCTCCATCTAGTGCTGAAGCATACACTGAAAGGGATGCTTTTGACGAACTGGAATCGTTAAAACAAAGACTTTTAACAACATCAGGATATCTGAAATGTGTTCAGGTATATTTAATAGATGATTTGAAATCAATGGCATTTATTATCTGCGAATGCTTTATGTTTTTCCTTTTCATCTCTGTGGATGGTTTGGTTTTTTATTTCTACTAAAATATGCAGGGTAATTTGCACATCACTGTCTCTGCTTTACTAGCTGGGGCAGTTGTCTGGATGTCAGAGCTTCCTGCAAGACTCAACCCAGTTATATTACCTTTGATGGCTTCCATTAAAAGGGAGCAGGTAATATTCACAAGGGATCATGTGTTTTGTGAAAGAAATACTTCAATTTGTTTCTTACTTATTTTCATGCTGCAATTATTTGCAGGAGGAAGTGTTGCAAAGTAAGGCTGCTGAAGCCCTTGCTGAACTTATTTCTGGTTGCATCCCACGCAAGCCTGGACCCAATGACAAGTTAATTAAAAATCTTTGTGGTTTGGCCTGTTCGGATCCTTGTGAGACACCTCTAGCTGCTGTCCTTAGTTCCATTGAGATAGTTGAAGAGCAAGAATTCCCGTCTTCTGGAAGCACTTGCAGTAGACAGAAATCAAAAGTTCATATACTTGCCCCTGGTGAAGACCGATCAAAGGCTGAGGGCTTCATCAGCCGCCGTGGTTCAGAACTAGCACTCAAATTTTTGTGCCAGAAGTTTGGTGGTTCATTGTTTGACAAACTCCCAAAGCTTTGGGATTGCCTTGTGGAAGTCCTTAAGCCTGGTAATCTTGATGGGTTGACTCCAGAAGAAGAAAAGTTTATTGATGAAGCTATTGATTCAGTTGCAGATTCGCAAGTCTTGATAAATAATATTCAGGTGATGACCTTGTTTAGTCTTTGATAAATTATTAATGGCATAATTTGAAAGTATGCCCATGCCCTCTGTTTTACTTTATCAAGCATCATTAAATTCTTCCACATTCTATGCAACCAGTGCCTATTTGATTGGAAAATAGTTTGTCCCAGAAAAGGGAAATCTATTGTCCACTAGCTACCCTCTATTCAAGCTTCAAAGACTCGGAAATTAGTGTCTTTGAGACTCCAAAGATTCATAGAGTTAAAAGATGGTACATGATGACCACTATTAACTATTGTTATTTGAGTTCTGATATTAATAAATTTTTGGACAACTTGAATGTGGGCAATAAAATGTGTTGGTGGTTTTATACTTTGACAAAGTAGAAAAAATGTTGATAAATAAGCTATCGACAACCTCCTCTGTTTAAAAAAGTAATACTTCTTGTATTAACTATACAGATAATTTACCTCCGTTACTAATTTATGCTTTAGTTGGAATCTGGGCCTCCTTTCTACTGTGTGAAGCCTAGCCAGTTGCCACAGAAAACTGGAATAAATACTTATTTTTCCTACCTAGTCTTTTTTAGTTTCATACTTCATAGTTCATTCCTTCATCTATTTGTATTGCAGGTGGTTCGATCTCTTGCACCAATGTTGGATTGGACATTGAGACCAAAGCTGCTCACACTTCTTCCATGCATATTTAAATGTGTTCGTCATTCTCATGTTGCTGTTAGGCTAGCTGCGTCAAGATGTGTGATGACTATGGCCAAATCAATGACCTCAGATGTCATGGGTTCTGTAATAGAACATGTCATTCCTATGTTGAGTGACATGTCATCTGTTCATGCTAGACAGGGTGCTGGCATGCTTGTTAGCTTGCTTGTTCAGGGACTTGGTGTGGAGTTGGTTCCTTATGCTCCTTTATTGGTGGTTCCACTACTGAGGTGTATGAGTGACATTGATCATTCTGTCAGACAGAGTGTAACACATAGTTTTGCTGCCCTTGTGCCTCTTCTTCCACTTGCACGTGGTGTTCCCCTACCTTCTGGCCTTAGTGAACGTTTATCTAGAAGTAAAGAAGATGCACAATTTTTGGAGCAACTGGTTGACAATTCTCACATTGATGATTACAAGCTCTCAACTGAACTGAGAGTTAATTTAAGGAGGTAAGCCAGGCTAAGTGCTTTGTATACTAGCTTTCTTATGTTCAAGGTTGGAAATTTCTCATCACATCTTGGTTTATCATTTGGTTGCCTTTAGCTCTGATACCAATTGCCGCAGGATTAAGGCAACTTAGGTGGAAGCAGGAGATTAAGGAAAATTGCTTTGATTCATGAGCAGAAGTTATGTTTTCTTAGCGATCTCACTAGACCAAAATGGATTGACTACCCATCAAGTTCAATAGTATCCAAATTCAAATTCAGTAGGTTTTAATCTGGTGAAGTCATAACTTGAAAGACTGATTGTTGATTACTTTCTTCAAAGTAATCAACAATCAGAAGACGATGTGGTCTAGTACTAGCTTGAACTTCAGAGTTAGTATGTTCACGGGCATCGTAATAAGAAATAGATCCTGGTCCACCTCCAGGCTGTGTCCCCATGGACCCAAAAAGGGTGAGGGGACACTGCACTTTAAGGTAGCGACTGACTGACCCCCAGAGAGATGATAGAGAAACACAGTGTGTGATCCTTGTGTAAGGGTACCAAATGAGGATGGCTCGGGGAGTCATCCTAGTGGAGGGAGAGACCCTAGCCACTGACAATACATTCCTTTCAGCAAGCAGCTTCAGGCGAAATGTGACAACAGCCATCCACTGAAAAGACAAATGGGTAGGTAGTGCTAGATGTCGGCTACTTGAGATAGGAGTGAATAGAATGCCAGGAAAAAGCAGTAGAAATCTGCTTAGGGGGCTAATAAGCACAAATCATTGGAAGTTCTATTGGAAGAACTTGAAGGAATAGATAATTGTCTTGGATGTCAAAAATTGAATTAGTGTACAAGCTAGACCTGAATAGTCAAGGTATGAGATAAAATCTTAATCTACTCAACGTCTCATCCTAATTCTCTAGTTTATTGAATACCATACTCAGCCTTTATCCTTATCCTACACCTGCTGCAGTATTTATCCTGCATCATTTTGTCATCTCATACTTAAGTACAAAGATGATGTCCTCTATGTAATGTAGGAATCAAGAGAAATTGGCTTTTACCCCCTTTTTTTAGACATCCAACTTGAAAGGATGTCCTTTGATTCATTGGCATGCCAATTAAGTTAATGGCCGAGTAATAGGTTCTACAAGGGTGAGCTCCTTTTTCAGGGCCTTGAATGTTTTGTGCTTTCTAGAGTATCCTTGCCCATGAAATACTTGTTACCGCATGTCTTGCTTCTTTCCATAAGGTCTCCTGTATGAGCGTTCTCTCTTATGAGCAACTCAGGAATCATTGCAGCTATTTAAATAGCATAGCTTGAGGGAATCCGTCACTTAATTGTTGCAACAACTTAAATAGCATGGGTCAGATTAACCATGGGTGATAGCTGCCGATTAAACCTGTTAAATCCTTCATGAAACTGAAATACCCACATTTAAATGGCTTAAAGAAACTTGAAGCTAACTTTTGTTGAACTGAAAACTTAGCACATCAGATAAAAACACTCCATTAGGGTATAGAATTAAGAGAGAGAGAGAGAGAGAGAGAGATTGATTGATTGATTTCAACTATGATTCAACAATCCCTGGCAATAAATATACATGCCACTTGGAATAAAAACATCGCTACAAAGAGTACTAGCCTTATGGGCTGACTGTACATATCCATTGTATTTAACTCTCAGATCAAAGTGCACTGGATCAGTTTCTCAGCATTTCAAACTAATGAGCACTAATTAGTAAAGAACCTTTGTCCTTCCATTACAGTTTCAATCATCTCTAGTCCAGAATATAACCTTTTGAATCAATAATCTTAAATTTTAGCTTGAAAAATCACCAGGGATAAACTATGTTGGTAAGTGCATCTTTTGCAAAGTCTTCTCATTCTCTGCATGTAGCTAATGTGCTTCTTTCTCACAAGCAATTGGATGTTTTAAATAGCTCTAGTTTGATGGTTAATACATGATGTTATTCCTAGGTTGAGTAATACATCACCCACTTGGTTAAGTTGCATAATGATAGTATACCATGTATATTTTGAAATCCTTGAGGCAGAGTGTGTCGACTCATTAGCTGTCCTTATGATTTATCAAGTGACTCAATTTACTGTACTTGTGCTCTCGTTTAGTGTAATACACATGTATCCAACAAAGTATTAGTGATTTTGAGCACTGATTCCCGTGTTTTCTGCTTCTAGGTATCAACAAGAAGGCATAAATTGGTTGGCTTTTTTAAAGCGCTTTAACCTTCATGGGGTTTTGTGTGATGATATGGGCCTTGGTAAGACCCTCCAAGCATCAGCGATTGTGGCATCTGATATTGCAGAGCATTCTCATGCAAACAAAACTGAGCAGCTTCCACCATCAGTTATAATATGTCCTTCAACACTAGTTGCACACTGGGTCTATGAGATAGAGAAGTTTATTGATACTTCTCTACTGACTACCCTTCAGTATATAGGTTCAGCTCAAGATCGTATATCTCTCCGTTCTGAATTTGACAACCATAATATCATTGTGACATCATATGATGTTGTCCGCAAAGATATTGATTATCTTGGGCAGGTTTTTTGGAACTACTGTATTCTGGATGAGGGACACATCATAAAGAATTCAAAGTCTAAAGTTACAGCTGCTGTGAAACAATTGAAGGCCCAGCACCGCCTCATACTCAGTGGAACACCCATCCAGGTTACCCTTCATGCAGATCATATTATGCTCATTAATAAAGTTTTGCTTTTTGTTTTTATCTTACAATTGCCTACCTCAAATTGCAGAACAACGTTTTGGACCTGTGGTCACTTTTTGACTTTCTCATGCCAGGATTTCTTGGAACAGAAAGACAAGTATGTGAGCATAACCCAATTTGAAACATCTTGATGTTCTTTATGTTTTGGTATTCTGAATTGACCTGTTTGAAAGAGTGCTATATTTTTAGTTGGCGGAGCTGTGTTTTCTTCTTTAATGTGCTAGAAAAGTTTACCAGGAAAAGTTTGTGTGCAGCATACCTTGTTTCTTGTACTGATTCTGCTTTTATCTGCTTCTTGGATTGGTGTGATTGGAACATGTGAAGTTCATAAATAATTTGAGTGCATATTGAAGGAGATTATGGGTCAGATGTTCATGTTGTGTCATTAGAATTTTCTTTATTTCCAGATTGATGGATCTTATTTGCAAGCAATATGCAACTTGGAGAGTTGAGAATGATGTTATAGGTTTCCCTTGAAGGCCTGAGCATCTTTCTTTCGAAACATTTTGTATATGGGGTTTACTGCTTTTCTGTTCTAATCGAAGTATTTGCTTATGAAATTAGAAAAAGGAATGAGTAGTTGACTTAATTAAGTCAGAAAAGTAGGGCATTGGTTATTCAGCACAAAACAAGGATGATAACTGGGGATTAAAAGACTCTTCAAATCATTATTGAGTCTATTTAACGCTGTCAGTTACCCTTCTCTTTTGAATGTTGGGGATATTCTTTCAAATAAACGTCTATACAAATCTGCCATTTTTTTCTGTCTTGGCTTGTCTTAAAACTTTCTCATTGCTGTGTCATAGGCAGCAAGGGTTTAGAGATGGTGTCAACTTTGTTTCCAGATTATTGGGGTGTTATGTGTACTATTTTATTTCTGAACTGCATTTTATTTACAAGTCTCGTGCTATTGCCGTGTTATAGTTTCAAGCTACTTATGGGAAACCGCTGCTAGCAGCCAGGGATCCTAAATGTTCTTCAAAGGATGCTGAGGCAGGTGCACTAGCCATGGAAGCATTGCATAAGCAGGTACGATTTTTTGGCTTTATTGTCGTTTTTTAAGGTATTTGATGAACAAAAAAGAAGGGTTTTGATGAGCTTTTCCTAATAGTATTATGGATCACTTGTTTGCTGAAGGATGGCTTTTTGACAGGTCATGCCTTTTCTGCTACGCCGAACAAAAGATGAAGTCTTGTCTGATTTGCCTGAAAAAATAATTCAGGATAGATACTGTGACTTGAGTCCTCTGCAGCTAAGACTTTATGAACAATTCTCTGGTTCACACGTAAAACAAGAAATCTCAAGTATTGTGAAGCTGAATGAGTTAGATGCTGGAGAAGGAAATCCTTCAACCAAAACATCATCCCATGTTTTCCAGGTAATTCAGAGGCATTCTTTACCATTTCATTCCAGTACTGTGGCCTGATGTCTATCCTTGTGCAATTTTTCAGGCACTTCAGTACTTGCTAAAACTTTGCAGCCATCCATTGCTTGTTGTTGGGGAAAAGGTTCCAGAAACAGTCTCAACTGTTTTGTCGGACCTCTTCCCTGGTAAAGCTGATTACATCTCTGAACTTCATAATCTCCAACACTCTCCCAAACTTATAGCCCTACAAGAGATTCTGGAAGAGTGTGGAATAGGAATTGAGGCTTCAAGTTCTGAAGGTTCCATTGCTGTAGGGCAACACAGGGTTCTGATATTTGCACAGCATAAAGTAATCTTTCCTCTATCTTTTGGCAACTTATTTGCAAGTTTCTTTATGAACAACTTATATTATCTATTCATGGTAACATCTGTCTATCCTGTCTTCTGGGATGTAATTGTGACTGCTGATGCAGGCTTTTCTGGATCTAATAGAGAGAGATCTGTTCCACGTTCATATGAAAAAGTGAGTCTTCTCCTCATTAAGCTATTTAATTGTCAAACAAAGGCTCTAATGATGGAGGCTTTCGTCAGAAATCATCATCATCCTTTGATGCTTGTGAAGCTTATTTCCTATAGCTTTGTAGCATCTCTTTGTTTCATCAAGGTTGCACTGTTGTAATTGCTTGTCTCAACCAACTTGCTTGCCTTTAAACAGTGTTGCATACTTGCGACTTGATGGCTCTGTTGAACCAGAGAAACGTTTTGAGATTGTAAAAGCCTTCAACTCAGACCCTACTATTGATGCGTTGCTTCTTACAACACATGGTGGGATTCTAAAATTTTGGTCTTTGTTAAAGATACAAGTTGGTTTGGATTCTTTGCAGTTAAGTGATAAATGGTCACTCTTTTGCAGTTGGTGGGCTGGGATTGAACCTGACATCAGCTGACACCCTTGTATTTATGGAACATGACTGGAATCCCATGCGAGATCATCAGGTACATACACTCCAATAAAGTTTTTTGTGGAGCATCCTTGGCATTGATTGCTATACCTGAACTTGTTTTTGGTAAAAAAAAACCTAAAAAGAAATAGAGGAATTACCAGTGGCACGAAAGGGTTTCTATGTTTAATATGGATATCTCTTTTTTTTTATTTCTCAAGTGGAGGAAATAAATACTCTGACAATCAGAGAAACTAGTAGGTCGCCTACTTGATAGATGAAAGCTTTGCTGCAGTTTTAAGTTATTAATCATGAAGGTTCGCCTTTTCATTGCCTGATTAGACCTACCTTTTAACCTTTATTGTTGGAACATGTCAGAATTTACTGTATTGTCATCTAGTTTCGTCTAAGATTTTCAATTTAGCTTGCATCAACTTGTCTGAACTGAGTTCTCACTTGCTGTGTCTTGCATACCCTCTATTTCCTCCAAACTAGCAGCATCCTTCCTGCAATATGGAAACTACAAATAAGTTCTGCTTGACCTGATAAAGAAATTTTGAGAGATGTATTCAAGATGATGCCAAACCTACTTTTCTTGTCAAAGTAAATGTTTCCCTACTTGTACGCTTGCAGGCAATGGATAGGGCACACAGGCTGGGACAAAAGAAAGTAGTCAATGTCCATCGTCTTATCATGCGAGGAACATTGGAAGAAAAAGTCATGAGCCTCCAAAGGTTCAAAGTCTCTGTTGCCAATGCAGTCATCAATGCAGATAATGCCAGTCTCAAAACAATGAATACCGATCAGTTGCTTGACCTATTTACTCCAGCGGAGAATGGAAAGGTAAAACTTTGAATTCTTTTCTGAGTTGTATTAATGTTATTTCATGCAAAAGTGTCATTTTATAATTAAGGCATCCCTTTGACCCTCTTTACCTTGTGAACAATGCATCTCAAATATACAGGGACCTAGGATATCACGGACTTCTACTGAGAATTTGGATGGTGAAACCAAATTACCAGGTAGCAGCAGGGGACTCAAAAAAATCCTTGGCGGACTAGAGGAGCTTTGGGATCAGTCTCAATATACTGAAGAATATGACCTAAGCCAGTTTTTGGCAAAGTTAAATGGCTGAGTTTTGTTTGCAGCCCCTACGCTTTGGGAAATTTTGAAGCAGGTGGATTAGTCGATTGTGTGTCTCAGTAATGCCAAAGGGTTAGGAGTTCATAGCAGAACATGTACAGAATGTATATTCTTGTGATATCCATTGATTTTGACAATTTGAGAGAACTCAGTTCTCTCTTCATGTCTCTTCCTTTACCTTTTGTGCACATTTTATTCGGGGAAGGGCATCGAGAAGGTCCGGTAGTTAGTTGCATTGAGTTTGGCCAGACAGAGACTAATCAATCTCGTAGAGGGAGAATTGTAAAATTTTGAGATATTTGTACATATTGATTTTTTTGTCATAAGGGAGTTTTTCTAATTGCGATAGCAATTCTCTAAAACTCTCTAATTGCGTGTAGTCTTCCTTGGTCGCGAGACTGGGCGTGAATTATGTCTGTTTTTACGGTATATGGGCATCACATTTAACTATGGTCAATCTAATTGTACCTGGCTTGAGGTTCAGTCAAATTATGAATCAGACCCTGTATATGGTCAACTAACAAATTGACCCTTCAAGCTCACAAATGTATGGCTTAAAGAGACCTGCTGTTGTTCAACACTTCCAACTGTTGGTCGACTTCTATTTTCTTAGAGACCTCCGTTAAGTCAACAACAAAAACATGCAACCACCAAAATCTTTTAATTGACTCTTTCATTCATTTACTTTATAAAATCCTAATAATGAATACAACCAAATCGATGGCCATCATTTGCTTTTCTTTCAAGCCACAGGCCTAAACCCATACTAATTGCTCCATATGCTGTCAGAAAAAAAAACACTTTTAAACTCCAAATTCAAGGAATGCAATGAAAATAGAGAGAGAGAGAGAGAGAGAGAGAGAGAGAGAGAGAGAGAGTGTGTGTGTGAGAGAGAGAGAGAGAGAGAGGGAGAGAGAGAGAGAGATAAATGAGGTATTCTCTTCCAACTCCATTATCACTAAACAAGTTTCATTACTCGGGCATAATTATATGATAACCGGTCCATCTGCTTATGAAAATGCCACCTAAGTTGTCGAAGATTACGCTATAACCGATCTGTGTTATTATTCATAAAGCAACTGACACTTTTAGCATACTTAAAATATATTACGAATCAATGGAAAGAAAAAGGAACAAAGATAATTGGTATTTGAAAAACAATATTACGAGTTCTCTATCGATATCAGCTCAATTCTTGTGTAATAGGAATTGAAGAATAGCTGGTGTTTCTTTCATAAAATTTTGTCTACTAAAAAAAGATTAGAATGTGTTTGAATTTTGTATCAATTGTAGCATTCATGTTATAATTTAGACAAATGTTAGGGAGGTAAATGTAAACTCAACTTGCAAAAAGTGTGCTTTAAAGCTTTTAGACTTTTTTGTCCGCTTAAATTTACTTAATTGCACATCTATTAAGAATGATAAAGGACTACGGGTGATATCGATTCGACTCTCGAGTTAAAGTACAAGATACAGAAAGCTACAAAGATTGAAAGAGGAATTCTATCAAATTTAAAAAAGAATATTTTATTAATTATTTCTATTATTTAATTTTTCTCTTTTAAAATTCCTCGCCTACAATCTTGACAGAAAAGTTTTGATCTAATTAAAAGTAGGGTGTTTCCTACTCTAGCAAGGATTTTCTCGGTCACTAATAATAAATTTATCTTTTTCTTATATTAAAATTATTTTTCAATTTCTTTGGGCATGTTCAGATTCAAAAGATCCCTTTTGCTCTAAATAATTTGATACTTGGATGGGTACTTTCAAATGCAGAATAAACTCAGAAACCTTCCAAAATTAATCTATAATTTTAACATATGACATGAGATAAACTGATTAATACAAGAATCTTTTAACAAGTTTTTGTTACTAGATCGTCCCCTTTTATTAACAAGATAACATAAAGTTCTAAATTAAATTAAATATAATAATATATAACAAAGTGATGGAATTAAAATTCACACATGATGTTAGCTTGTGCTGGAGGTTTGTGAAAATTTTAATTAAGATACAAATACTACTACTAGATTATAGTATTGGTAATTTCTACAATCTGAGAAGTGTCTTCAATTGACCTACAAGAGACTAAGAGGCTCTTGAACTTCTAATTGTGGATTATTTTGCTTTGTCGTGTTTGCCTGATGTAGTTATGATGTTGATGCCTCGCCAGTCGCCTCTGGTTCTCTCAATTTTTCTCAGGACTTGCTCTTCCATCCTCATTTTTGGATTCTTTTACATACACTAACAATTCTTATTACTTGCTTGTGTAAGGTCCGAAGACAACCTAAGAGCGGGGATGAATTAGATTGATTATAAAGCTAATTAAGTTATGGGCATTTTTTTGTTTGATATAAAATTTACCCTATTTTCTAAATAATCACACAATGAATCAATCAATGAATGAACAAAATCACTTGAGAGAAGTAGAAGATATAAGCAATTTAAAGACCACAAGATAATAATAAGTAAATAGGAAGAAAGGAATTGCAAACCAATTGACTACCAAACTCCTCTTGAGTTTGAAAATCAATTCAAACAAACTTCTTTAAGTTGATGAAATACAACCAATCTTGTGTACAAAGGAAGGCTTACTTTCTCCTTGTCCCAAGCTCCACTCGGCCAAGTTAGGAAGTTTTACTATCCCTCAGAATAACCCTCACAGAGTTACACTATTGAAGTATTCACTCACAAATGAAAAGTTTACAATGAACTTCACACCACCAAAACTACAAATCTTCCTTGGAGAGTGTTTTCTTACTAAAACTACTCTATATCTTTTGTATTTTCAGTGTGCAAAAGTTATTTGAAATTTCGGATCATACTCTATTTATATGAGACCAAAAAAGTGATTCATTAATGCTTCCAATGGATAAAAGGCAGTTGAAAAGTCAACTAGCCGTTGGAAGAATCGGACGTCCTGTACTTCCGAAACTTACATCCGAAAATAGGTAGAGAGTTTGAAAAATCTTTTTCAATTCTTTCGGATGTTCGGTACCTCTAATGCTTGCGTCCGAAAGCAGACAGTGAATTAGAAGGAATTTCTTAATTCTTTCGGACGTCTGGTGATGGAGTTCTTTATGCGTCTGAAATTCTGTATTGATTATCGGACGTTCGGTGTTGTCTTCACGAGCGTCCGACAGTTTTCAACTTCCTTTATCTCTTTCAATGCTCTTGTTTTTTAAATCAGGTTGCTTCATATCTGAAAGAATTTTTTTTTGAAGAGATATTAGTATCATCCAATTGTTTTGTAAAATCAAAAGATAGGGACCAAGATCAACATTTTTTCCCTTTTTGATGATGACAAAATAATGAATGGAAAGAAAGAAAAAAAAATGAGCATAAACTCCCCCTCACTCATCGCTTTCAAAACCATATAGAACTAATCTCATAGCATCTCCCCCTTACACATATCAGAATAACTTTCCCTTACATATTGCATCCCTCAACAAAATTCAAAACATCAAAATAATTATCAAAATAAATCATCATTAGATCAGCATTATTCTTTTCTCCCTCTTTTTGTCATCATAAAAATTCAGTAATATTCAAAAACAAAAATAGCAGAAAATTCAGTAATATTAACTAAATTCCACTAATCATTCAAAAAATATTAAAGAAAACTCAATTCAGAGCATCATAAACATCAAAAGAAAATTACAAAAGAATATTGAAAATGCATCCTAATATGAAGTGCAAATGACCTTAGAGTACCTAAAGTGTGATTACAAAATTTCGAAAAGTTACAACATTTAAATTTCGAACCATCGTCATTTCTAATTTTAACAATATTTAAACCAAACAGATTTTGAACTTTTACAAATAGGGAAATGAAATTTTTTGAAAGTATCATCTTTGTGAGCAAGAAAAATCACCCATGTGTATTTAGAATAATCATCAATAATAACTAAGTAATATCTCTTATCACTCAAACTAGCAATTTGTGTAGGATTAAACAAATTAAAATGTAAAAACTCCAATGGTCTTGAAGTAGAAACACATTTTTTGGGTATAAAAGAGACTTTAATTTTTTTTTAAATTTGACAAGTATCACAGATTTTATCGTTTTCAAACTTAATTTTTGACAAAACTATAACAAGATTCTTTTTAAAAATTTTTTTTTAACAAATTCATGTTGAAATGACAAACTCTTCTATGCCACAACCAAAGATTTTCATTTGAAACTTTAAGATATTGCAGGTTAGAGGAAATAATATTTTCAAGAGTCACAACATAGATGTCATTGAATCTTTTTCCTTTAAAAATAATATTAAATTTTGAATCAAGAACTAAGCGCTCATGCTTCTTGAATAAAACAACAAGTTATGACTTAAATTGTCAATCAAAAGAATATTATGAACAAAAATCTCACTAATCTTTCCAGTATCTCCTACTCCAATTGTTTTAGTTTTCATATCATCTCCAAATATCACTATACCACTAAACTATTGCTTGAGATTGATGAATTGTGATGGATCACTGGTCATGTGTTTTGAACATTCACTGTCTATGAACCACTTTGATTCCTTAATAATGTTCACCGGATTCACCTACTCAAGAGTTCAAAAACTAATATTTGGTACCATTTAATTTTTGGGTCCTTGAGAGTTAGTATCAAGTCTAACTATCCACATGTATTTCATGTCTCTTCTCATGTTCTTCCTCACATAACAATTACTTTTCATGGGATCTTTTTGACAATAAAACTACATATAACCAATTAGTTATTTACATAAATAGGTTTAATAAATCTTACTTGTTTTCTCTTATAAACATCAAAATCATTTACACCAGAATTTATCTTCTTCTCATAAGTGCCAAGATGAGATTTTGTTGCATTTCCTTGAAAGCAGTTTTGTTTCTTATTTTCGAGAAACTCATTTAAATTATCCATTCTTCTTTTCCGATCACATTGTTCCTCTTTGAATATTTCACAAAATCTTGTTGTTCTATCAAACTTATTTTGTAAATCAATTTCATTCTTTTTCAATAAATCATTTTTGGTTTTCAACTTCTTGTTTTCTTCAAAAATGCATGTATTATCCTGAAAAAGAAAGTCAATTTTATGTTTTAATTCCTTATTTCTAGCATAAGATTCTTTCAAACTATCAAGCAGTTTTTCAATGAAAGATTTAGTTTCATCATTACTTTCAAATTGAAGGTTAGAAGTTGTTATCTCATTATCTCCAATAGCTATAAAAGCCAATTGAGCAGATTCTTCTTTTTCTTCAATTTCACCATCGGAGTTGCACTAATTTTATGTGAATTGGAAGTTATTGAATCTTGATTTTCTTTCAACTTTCCTTTCTTTTTTCTTCTTCATTGGACACTCATTCATGTAGTGTCTAAGTT